AGAGCGTATAAAACATATAAAACCATCACCTATGTATCTATCAACCAGATTAAGAAGTAGAACTCTGAAATATCTTAGAAGCCCTCCCTCTTCCCAAAGATAACTATCCTGACTTCCTAGAGCCGACTCCAGGAGCACAGCTAGGCTCCTTGGTGAGCTTCAAGCTTGTCCTAGTTAGATCGGCACATCACCAATCTCATCAGATAGTTGTCTTCTGCATGGATTTCCACAGATGGCTCATCCCATCTGTCTTGTGTTGATCCTCATTAGTTTCAATCTTAGATGGGGACCTTGTCTTTCTTCAATATGTTTTATGATCTTCGATTATCAGGCTAATATGTGCTCTTTGTAGTAAACTTGGAAAATGCAGAAAACATCAAGAATATAATATTTAAGTAAGTCAGGGATAACTACTGTTAACATGTTGGAACATAGTATTCATTATTTTTTTTCTTCGCAGAAATATATATTTCACATTACAGACATTGAGTTGTATATTTAGCTTTTTCTTTTTCTTTTACAATATAAAACAGATACAGAGTAGTATGCAAGGCCTATATGCAATTTAAAGAAGTGTAGCGTCACCACCATTTAGGTTGGGAAGTAGAACGTTGTCATCCCCTGAGTAGAGCTCCATGTGACCCTTCTGATCACACCCACTTCCTCTCCCCAGAGGTGACCACTGTCTTGATTTCGACAGTCAACGCATTTCTATATAGTTTCACCTCTTGTTCATGAACTCAAACAAGCAATCACTTTGTTTTGAATAACTGAGTGGCGAGCACATCTAAGTGTGTCCATAAGCAGCAAAGAGTCATAGTACCACTATTAGATGAAGGCTTCCAGAAGAAGAGAAGCTGCACCAGGTCCCCTCTTACAGACTCAGTTGTTTAGGGACTCGGTGGCTATAAGCATGTCCTCATAAAGGAATGCATGGTGCCCACCACCATCAGGATGCTGGGTAGGATCATGGCCATGGCACTGGACACCCAGGTGTACGGCCAGAGGGATTTGGCTGCTCTGTCTGCCTCCAGGACCTCCAGCTTCCAGATGTAGGTCAAAGCAGAACACCTCTGCGGGGTGAAGTGAGAGTCCCCAGCTAATCCAGACAGCAGGATGTGGAAGGCTGAGCAGGAACTTCAGCAGCAAATGGTCAAGCCAGATCTCTGACAATGTGAGAGAGAGGCAGAACCCCAGGGACGTAGATTCAGAGAGGGGATCCGGGGATCTACCCCATTATGTTGGCCGCCCCTGTTCACTTCACTTCTCAGTTCCTGAGACAACCTGGGGCTGCTATCATGAGCCTGATGAAGATTCTGTCACGTAGACCAAGCTGTTTTTCTGCTTTACTCCTTTCTGTCTTGTGATTCAGCTTCCCTGGGGCTGTGTAGTCAGTTGACTCTGGTCTAGCTGCTTTTGAGTATTGCAAATTATGATGTTGTTATCTCCTAGAGCTTTCTCCTTACCATTGCGGGATTCTGTCTTTGCAGATGAAACCAAGCCCTTACTGTACTTTTAGTGGGACCTTGGGAGGGGAGGGACTGGATTTAGATGCGTGCATTAAATCTGTTGTCTAAATCCGGAAGTCTCCAGAGGAAATCCTGCCTCTCCCTTCCTCGGTTGCCCGAATGTGACAGTTAGTTGGATGGCTCCTTTGGAACCCTGGGGACTGTCAGCAGTGCTTACTGTACCCACAGGGAGACACTGGAAGATATCGGGGGAGAGGATATGCATAAGCATGAGGGTTAGGCTTTAGACATTGCATTTTTAGTATTGGTAATTAAGAGGCTACATTTTGGAGTAAGTGAGACCCAGGTTCAACTTCTAGCTCTGCCATTTACTTACCGTGTGACTTTGAGCAAGTTTTTGTGCTTCTCTGATCCTTATTTTCTTCACCTATAAAATGGAGATAATAATGGTACCCATCTTGCCGGGTTGCTGCAGTGATAAAGGGAGATAAAAACTGCACACTGTTTCACTCAGTGCCCGGCACATTGTACCTGTTCAGTACATAGTAGATGTTATCATCATCACCATCATCATCACAAGCTAATATAGTAAACTTCCAGAAGCTGTCAGAACCGTTGTTTCTCCCAGCTACTGAAGCCCTAGACTCCAGAGAGTCTTGGTGTCCTTGCCCTTTGACCCAGCCCCTGATGGTCCCCGAAGCAGTGCACTTGACCTTAGCTTGCTTCCGGGATGATTCTCAGTGGCCCACCTAGCCTGGCCAACCATGCAGTCTTTCTACCTCATGACCCAGCATTACTGATTACAGGTGCAGCACTGGCTACTCTGCAAAACTGCCCCCACAGAAAACGGCCAGCCTAAATGGCAATGTACTACAGACCTGCTCTGTGCCTGGCACTACAAGAAGGTATGCCATAGTCTCTAGCCCAGGGAGTCAACAGGCTACTTGCTTATTCATTGGAATTAATGGTACAGAAAAATATATCCCTTCATTCCTTAATTGATTTATACGTTATCAATTTTACCTTTTTGTGTTGTGGGGTTATTTTATTTCTCGAGACAAAGTTCAACTCAATCCTGTGATTAAATTCCAACTCTGAGAGCTTGTTGACTTAAGTGAACTTGATTTGGGGCCTCATCAATTGTATTCAGCCCTAGACATAAACTTTGAAATGTTAAAGTAAAATTGTATATACATTTATAGAGGAAAAATACAGAAAAGCTCAAACTCTTCTGGCTCTTGCATAGAGAATACCTATAGAATAGGTATACTGTTCCAAGGATATAGGTGGGATCGGGGCTACCCTAGAGTTCTTTGCAGAATCTATTTGGTGAGTGCTATCTCCCTCATACCCCCATGCCGCATGTATCATAACAGAACTTCCCTAACTTGGAGTTCTCATTTTACGATACAGTCGTAAAAAGAAAAGAACACTAGGTCACACAGTAGCTAGCCCAGAGACCATTGCACAGCTGTGGACCCCTAGCAGCCTTCCAGAATCTTCTTGCTGCTGTTGGTCTGCTTAGAGCAAATGCGAGGTTTCGTTTGCGCAATTCGATCAAGCAAAACTCAGTGCATAGATCTTGAAGTCAGACCATATCTAGGTTCTCGTGCAGGTTCTGGCAAGGTCACTACTAACGAGTGACCTTAGGCAAGTCATTTAACCTCTTTGTGCTTAAGTTTCCTCATCTTTACAATGGGATCCTAATATTACCTTCCCACTTAAGATTGTTCTGAGAATTCATTAATTGAAATGACCCCAAGAAAGGGCTGAGCACAGTGCCTTACATTAAGTAGTTCTCCATAAAGTTTTGTAATTTTACAGAAATGATCATTTATCATTATTATTAGTGTATTTTGCTAAAAAAAATAAAAAAATGAGAAGTGACAGCCCTGCTGAGCTGTGTTGATGAGACCACACCTAGAGCAACACATCCAATTCCAGGCCAACGCGTAAAATTCATAGGACGAGGCCTAGAGCATTGTAAATGTGCTCGATACATGGCAGAGGCGTTATCATTAAGACTACCACTAAGCAGCCTTCTGAGAGAGCACACAACATGCAAGCACTGCATATGCGTTAACTCAGTCTTTATAACCCCCGCCACTCTATGGATAAAGTACAGCCATTAACTCCCTTTTACAGATGAGGAAATTAAGGCACAGAAAGGTTAAGTAACTTCCCCACAATTACATAGCTAAGAAATGGCAAATCAATGGTGAAGTCCAGACCTTCTTTCTCCAAAACCTGCCATTATGCCAAAGAGCTGTGCTCTCCAGTCCTGTAGCCAGCAGCCACATGTAGCTATTTAAATTTAAATTAATTTAAAGTGAATAAAAGTGGGAATTCAGTCCTCTATTTGCACTAGCCACATTTTAGGTGCTCAGTTGCCACATGTGACCAGTGACTACCACATTGGACAGCGCAGGGATAGAACATTTTCTTTCGAGGAGGTTGATTCAACATCATCTCAGACAGTTTTCGTAGACAATGCTGCTTATAGCACTTCTGGGATTCTATTCTTTATGAAATCTCAGACTTATATAGCTTTCCATATTGTTATTAATAGACATATGGTTGTGATATATTGAAATCTCATTTGCACTTGGTCAAATAAGATAATGGTACGCAAGAAGCCAAAAAGTCTGACTCAACGTTAAATTTTCCTGCTTTCCCAATGTATTACTTCGGATTTACAAAACTGTCTCCTGTCACCTCTGTTCGACAGGTAGGGACATTCACCAATTTGCCTAAAGACTCAGCATCTTCCACAGCTCTGCCTTGATCTCTTCGAGCTATGTGGATAACATTTTGTGTCCTAGCATGTTCGTCTTAACTAGTGACCTCAACAACTGGGGCTGGCTTCTGAAGTCAGCCCAGCCCTGAAGGACCTTGAACTCCTGAGAGTCTCTGGAATCTGCTCCAAGTCTCCATTTACCTCTCCCGAGCTTTCTCTGCTTGCCTGGTATATACTTAGTAAAGACCAGGGAAAGAAAAGAGACGACAAATTCAGGGTTCATTGCCTGAACTCCTGCATGATTAAGTCTAGAAATCCACAAGCTCCCAGAAACCAGTAGAATTATAGTGTACAACTATAGCTTTGCCAATGCACACATCCCTCCTTCTGAATCTCTGTGGTAGAGAAGATTGGACCAATATCTAACCCAGTCAGTAACTTAGAAAGTCCGAGCAATTTCTGTCTACTTCTGGCAAAGCAGCTGCATATCTATAGGGGTTAGTCTTAATCTTAACTTCTTTACCAGATCCCATTTGAGCTATGGTGATGATGCCTTGGAATAGCCAACAAGGTGGAGCTACTCCCATGTGAATGAAGGGAGACCCCTGATTGTTTTCTCTCCATGTGCAGAGAAGGAGCCTTTACATTTCCAAACCCAGGAGCTGCTTGGGTTTTAGTCACTCTGTCAATCAGATCCAGGTCTGTACCCCACCTGCTACTTTGTGTCCTGGGTAAGCTTTTGTCCACTTCCTTGTCTTGTAAACTAGAGATGGTCTTAAATGCATGTGTGCACAGAGTTCAGTGTCCAGCACAGAGTGCGTGCCCAGTAAATGTGTTAGCTGATGTTATTTTCATGGAGTGATTATGATCCTTCTCTGTTCTATTGATGGGTTTTATTAACACAACGGCATTGAAAATGGATGAGTAGATGTGCTTAAATGAGGGTCAAGGTTCAGTTTATCCCAAAAAGAGGCCAGCACAGTGTTCACCAGGTTATCATCTCCCAAGTGCCTGGGACATCATGCCAAACTCATAACAGTAAAGTTGATTGGATTTTCCAAATATCTGCTGAGCCCCTTGTCTGTGCCAGGCACTGTCTGGGTACCAGAGGGATTCAGAGACAATTAAGATTTGGCTCAGCAAGTTTAGCTAGAGGTATTTATCTACAAGAGGTAGACCAAAGGAGAGCAGAATTCCCAGGGTAGAGGAGCTGGATCTTGAAGGACATATAAAAATCCCAGAGTGGAAACATAGAGAAAGGGGATTCCAGGCCAGGTGAATCAAGGAGCATAGGCGCAGAGGGCTGAACACACATGGAGTTCAGTGTCACTTGAGGGTAGTGTACATGGCACTATGGAACCTGGCTGTCAGCAGGACGGAAAGTCAAGGGACAGGGCTTAGCAGGATGTGCTTGTATCTCTATAGACAGTCGCCAGCCATTGCAGGATTTTTCAGGTGAAGGGACCCTGGGCCAGCTTTGTTGTAATCATGGGTAGCCCAGGGTCCAGGGCGCTGAGTGGGTGTGTGCTTCATGAAGTCAGGCACCATTACCCATCCCATGGTCTAAATTCTATGAAATTTGGAATCACATGGAACCAGCCAGTCCACGAGCTATTATCGTTCATGGCCACCAGTAACTGGTGGACTTGTTATTCTGCGATTTTTCATGATTCCAAGGAAAGAGATGGATGTACCTTATGTTTGGAAACCTCTAGTAGAGCTGTCCCTAACGACCTCTTCTTTGGAACTCGGGCCTTACGATGAAAGGATATATGATAAGCAGTTTCTTTTGCAAATTAAATGGAGAATACCCATGAGCACCAGCTATAAAGCTCCTAGTTAGAGTCAAGATCGAATGTTATTGTTTATTTCATTTTTTTAACTGGGATTGCACTGGCCTGCAAACTGTCTGCTCCCACTCTGCTCTACTTGAATGAGTGGCTCCAGGTCCACTGCCAGTTGTTGCTGAAAAGAACTGTGGAGGAATCTTCCACTGTTGGTCATTCCTTTGTGCCATCTGCAGTTGTTTCTGCATGATGAAATACTGAGGCATTGCACTTGTATGTTAATGCTTATGGAAGGGCAGGATTCCTGTTTCTCTATCCATTGCCAATATCTTAGAAGTCTCATGAAGCTTTCAAGGATTCCTGAGTAAAAGCTCACAGATAAGCCTCATTCATTGCTTTTCAATGTATCATCATGGAATGGACAGGTAACCGGAACTCTAGTAATATTTGCATATTGAGATTGTAAAAACTTCATTGTGAATATAACATCGTGTTTAAGGTGATCAAGGAGCTGGGTATGCAGGCATAAAGAGTTGTCAGTTGTAGAAAGCGACATTTCTGCTCTTGTCCTAGATGTCCTTGGTCCAAGGACAAATTGGAGCTAGAGATGGCCAGTGAACTTAGCTCTCTACTGAACCCTACCCTAAGGAGAAGGGCACTGGGCCTTCCACAGTTGGTACACCGTCAAATGGCAAAGAAGTTTTCTTTCCTAAGTGCCTTGCTGAGAATATTTCCTGTTGTTTTTGGTTTGGGTTTTTGGTTTTGTAAGGGGTGGGGGTGTAATCTCTAAAACTCTCCAGGTATTAGATTATGTTCCTAGTGCCATCTTTAAGTAGTTATAATTCATCATTTAAAATTTGTCTAGAGCCCCCTTGTAAAATATCAGCTGTACTTTTCTCAATTGCATGTTTTAATAGTCTACATTTCAAAACTTATTTTTCATATGACAAGTTAATGACTACACACACACCATGGCAAACTACATGTAGGCTTAGGAACGAGGTAAACCTGAGTTTGCATCCTGCTCTGCTATTAACTAGTGTGTGACTTTGGACAACTCAGTTAATCTCTCTGGGTGTCAGTGCCCTCATCTGTCAATTAAAGACAATAATAGTTGCTGCCTCATATATGGCCTTTGAAAGGACTGAGTGAGACCGGATATTGAAAGTATTGAAAGCACTTGGGATCATGCCTGATGCATAGCAAGAGCTCGATAAATTTAGTGGTGGCAATTCTTGTTGTTGATCGAATAATGCATCCAACTATTTACTGGCCTATCATCTACTGCAGAGACTTGCCCACAGCAGGTGCTTAGTACGTCTTTCTTGCAATGAATCGAACTATCTCCAACTGTTTAGCTTAGATATGGGGGATAAATATG